GAAGTCAAAGCAGGTCACAAGGCTACAGGAGAATGATTCACCTCCTAGACAAGTTGAGGTAAATCAGAGTCTGAAATATATGTGAGGCAGGAACCTATGCTGGTCACACTTCTCACCGTGACAAAGATGATGATGTTTTAGAGCAGGGATGGGGAATCTATTACACTTCATATATTGTTGGACTCCAGCTCCTATCAGCCCCAGCCAGCATGACCAATGGCCAGGCATGATGAGAACTGTGGTTCAGCAGGACCTAGAGGTTCCCTATCCCTGATTCCTTAGAGAACACTGAATAAAAGGAGAAACTTGTTGCGTTTTTAACAAGGGCATTGCTAGGTAAAAACCCACTATCTGTGAGCCCAGGCCCATGGCACAAATGTGCACCTGTTAATTTACATGTTTAGGTGCCTCTGAGTAAATTAAGATGCTATCTGACTGGAGTCTGCCCAGCATTGCCCCTTGATCCAGCTGGTCTAGAACAGAGTCTGGTCTGTAAACACAGTTTTAAAATGTATTTTTTACAGTTTAGCAAAAGGGAGGGAAAGGAGCAGGTGATCCAGGGTCTGCCACAAAAGATCCAGGGCTCAGCCCCGCCCCGCCCTGAGAAAGCTAGAGAAATGTAGGTGTTTACTGATTCATAGTAGAGGGGATCAAAAGCAGCTGTTGAATCAGGGACCAGAACTTCTTTCAGGTCAGAAAGTCTGGGGAGTACAGTTCAACGCCACCATGTGGGCTAAAAGCAGCTGTTGAAAAAGCCTGAAACCAACAACCAGATACATAAATAGAACCCCAAAATTGTTGAGCTTTAATGACAAAAACTGCTTAGGGTCAACTTTTCTGTTTGGGTGAACTGGAGGAGAAAAGTTGCCTATAAGCAGTTTTATTAAGACACTTTCCTGATATCCAGAGAAAGAAGGAAGAACAGATGAACTGACGACTGCCAGGGAAATATTTTTCTAGTTTTTAGACTAGGAATGTCAGTAAAATCACATGACAACTGTACAGTGCTTGCAATATAATTTTAAGTATTAATAATAGCACAGCCATTTCCCCTTTTATCACAACCACCAATTAGGGCTCTTTCATTTCTACAATTCTTTAATATTTTTGTGTTTATAGGGGGAAAATATAGTGATTGTTTTAATCTTGAAGCAAGCTAGACATGTAAACTACAGCATATATATATATATATATATATATATATATATATGGTGTATGGAATGCTCAGTGGACTTAATCAAACTCTAGGTTTGTCCATAACAAGTTCAATAGTTGCTATTTGCTGTTAGATCCTCAGCTTCATTAAATCTAAAAGTTTCAGCTTTTGTTCGCAGTTAGTGTACTCAAATCTATAAAGTCTGCCATAGCTATCTCCTAAGAGACATAAAACGGAGGTCCTGACCACTTGTGGTCATTAAGGATCCCATGGCATATTTTGAGCAGAATATATGTTATATTCCGGTCTCCAGATTCCATTTCTTCCTTCCTAAAACATCAGCCTTTCTCAAACACTAGATGCAGTTGTCCTGCATTTACTATTATTCTAGCTGAGAATCAAATCAGAGAACCCTTTTATGAGATAAAATTAGAGAATGTCCACTGGTCCTACTTTACAGAAGGACAGTTGCTCTATTTATCGGCCCAAGATCAGTTTACAGATAAAGAATCTAAGATGAGACAGCAGCAGGAGCTTGAAATTGTCCATTACCCAGATAGCAGACAAGTCACCTGGTCACAGTCTTCCTCCAGTGATGAGAGCTGCTGTATTACTCTTTGAAATTTATCAGCATTTTAGTATGAATTTATCTTGATAATATACCCTTTGTATGTAATTTCCTATACATATAAATTAGCACATACAAAATTCATACAGATTGGTTGTCCTCTTTTTAGGTGATCCATTTCCTGGTTTGGGGTGATGCCTACAAAATTGGTGATGATTTTGAAAAATATATCACCTAAAAGTATATCAGTCAACTGCTTGTACCTCCTAAGGGAGACCCACGTCATGGCGGAGCTGTGCTTCTGGACTCTTTATTCCATTTCAGACACAGTGATCATTATTAAACTGTGCTGTGCAGATAAGTGCTAGAAAAATTGCCAGGTTATTTTCTTCACATAAAATTAACCAATTTGCCTCTGTGTGTGTATGTGGGATGGTAAAGAGCTGCTAAGCAATCCCATTCAAGTGATTAACCTTTTAGTTCATAAAAGCCACCATTTCACATGTATAAATAATATAATAAAGGGAATGTTCACACCAGTGTAATGTAGCTTACAATATCCTCGGCTCCTCTCCTTAATTGGTAAATAATTCCTCAAACTCTGAAATAAATTGTGCTCCCACCCACATTTCCTCATCCAATTATCATGAAATAGGGAAGCACACTTTGCCACCCTTTGCAAAAGAGGAGATTAGCAAATTGTTTCAACAGCGTTTTTCCGCTGCTCAGGGCTGCGTGAGGCTGGCACCTTTAGGGTAGGAGGTTGCCAGAGAATCCTTGTAGGGATGGGCGAGTCTGTCAATTTCACTTTCTCCTGGCTTCTCGTTTTCCCATTCCCATGAAAATTGACAAGCAGATCTGCAATCCTCCACATTTCAAGAACACCTGCCTAATTCTGACTTGATTTTATGAAGTCCAAAAAAGAACAACTTTTCACACTTTTGTCAAAGAAGGCATTTTATGCCCTAGAGAAAGTGAGGTAATGTTGCGTTTTCCTTGGGGTGCTATTTCTATTCACTAGACTTGGTCACATGTGATATATTGCTACTGCGAAAATAGTGATTGTTCTTTTCCTCTTCTCATGGAAGTCCACAGAAGGCCCAATTTGGAGACCTGCATTTGCCCAACCATTCACCTCTTAGGACGGGATGAAGAGGAATAGAAAGCCTATATAGTCATACCTCGATTCTTGAACGCCTCGGAACTCGTACGTTTTGGCTCCTGAACGATCGAAAACCGGAAGTGAGTGTTCAGGTTTTCGAACGTTCTTTTGGAAACCGAAGGTCCCACAGGGTTTCAGCGGCTTCTTATTGGCTGCAGGAGCTTCCTTCAGTCAATCAGAAGTTGCGCTTTGGAAGTTGAATGTTTCGGACGTCGAACGGACTTCCAGAACGGATTCTGTTCGACTTCCGAGGTATGACTGTATTGACTGCCCTACAAATAGGTGAACAGTATTGTCTGACTTTAAAAATCACTTGTTTGGTGCTGTAAATGCCATTTCAATAATGAAACGATGTGGAAATTTGCTTCTTTACACATATCTCCCATACCAGAACCAGGAAAAATTGTTTAAGTAAAATACATCTAACACTTTTAACACTGCTGGCCTGATCAATATATTATCCAGTTGTTGTTTCTGTTGTTGTTATCATATTATATTTGGTGGTAACTCCCACCTTCCCCGAGAGAGATTATTTTACTTTCTTCTTTACCAGTGTTTGAATAGGTCTTGATGGGTTCAGTATTTTAAACTGTTAAAAAGTGTTCCTCTCGCTATATTAAAATGTTTTGTCCGATTTCTTATGCTGGCCTATAGAGTAGTTCAGACTGCTGATTTATTTATATTGAAAAAAATTTATAAACCACTTAATTTAAAAGCAACACCTCTAAAGTAGTGTATGCAAAACAATTTAAAACAATTATTAATAATATACAGTGTATTTCACATACACTTAATGTCTGTAAACCTTAGCCTATGTAAACATAACTCTCTATACAGTATATGGTTTTTTAAAAGAAAAAAATACAGTAACAATTCAGCTGTTTGTGGATAGCAAACATGTAGTTTCTACTCTGCATGAAGGGGCAGGAGAGATCCTTATAATAGCTAGTTTGTTTAGATTTCTCACACTTTTTTGTTCAACCTAAAAAGTCAGTAAAAATAAGTTAATAATACACAATAAAATTAGCAAGTATACATAACCAAGTATACATAACCAAATTATGTATCAGTATAGGCTTGTTGGAGAGGAGGAAAAGCTTTTTAGGTGGGGTCTAAAACAGTACAGCTTAACGGAAAAGGCAGAAAATTCCATAGCATAGGTGCTGCCAGTCTGAAAGCTTGACTCCTAAGAGATATGGAACAAACGTTATATGGCATAAGCGAAAGTGCAATGTCCATGATTGAAGCAGTTGCATAGGCACATACGCTCCAATTTTGTTTTAGTTTTGCAATTGTGAAGATATGCTTTTAGTTGTATTTTATGGGTAATCTCCAATATTAATTGTACTCAGACTATTGAAATCAGTGAACATGACCATTAATTTCAGGGGGTGCAGTCTGAGTATGCCTAACAATGACTTGGGAGGGATAGGCCTGAAAGGCAGAGAAATCCTAGGAGCTAATAGAAAAATAAAAAAGTAGGTGAGACTCCACTGCCTAGGCACGTATGTTTTAAGTTTCTAGTTTAAAACAAAATGAAATACCTGCCTGATAATGTTGTCACTCAGAAACAATAATACTGCTTGAGTATTCAATCTAATTGTCAACAGAGATAAAAAGATTCGGTAAGGGCTACTAGGTTAAAATACACAATTAATTTCAAGCTTTCCTCCACAAAGCTGAAAGCTAATGGCACCCTCCTCTCACCTCCAAATGAAATCTGAGATAAACAGATCTAGGGACGTAATAAAAGGATCAAATGTTATGAGGCCTGTGATAAAATGGCGAGACTTGGCAGCGCTGCCTGCTAGCATTTCCCAGAGGATTTTGTTCAACTATTTTATAGCTTTTTCTCCAGGTCAAACTCATTGCATTAAAATACTGTAAATATTTACAGTGCATCATATGAATTTCATGAAGCAATGTGCTCGAGCCTGGATACTTTCATGTAGCTATTGTGCAACATAAGCCAACATTTCGCTGAAGTGTAATATTGTTTTTAAAAGCATCAGTGGTCTTTTAACCTAAGTGCAAACATCTAAAATTAGGGGTCAGCAAAAATACTACTCAGATAGAACCAGTGTAAAATGTCCATATACACCATCCAGTGCAAAACCTTCTTATCTGAGGGTTTGGTAAACAGATAACCAGCTTCGAACCTTAACTTGGTAGAAGTGCTATGCGCCACATCCTTATACTCTAAATTCAGAGGAACCTCTAGGCCTGAGGCTGAATGTGGCAAGTCTTGATATGATCCTCAGCACTCTCCCAAGACCACACACCCTCCACAACCACACCCTGCTCCTATGCCACACCTCTCACCAGCTCCTTGAGTGTTTTCACCAGACTGCAGAGTAGAAAGGGACGTGTCAGCATGTGCAGAAACCAGCCTACTGCACAAAAGTAACATCTACGCTAATTACAGAACAGGATTTAGGTCTGATGAGGCCCTAAACTGCTGAAGGTAATGGGGCTGTTTATATGTCCAGCTGTCCTTTGTCAACAACAAATTGTTGCTGTTTTTTGTGTTGAATATATGCTATGTGGTCATTTATGGACCTAATAAGTATCTAAAGCCTATTTGCACATGCAGAATGTAGGCACCCTATATATATAGAAATGAGCAAACCAGTGATATTTTAGGAAGCAGGCTATCAGGCCCATTACTTACATCATAAGAGCCTATACAACACCAAACACTGCTACTGTGTGTAGGTGTTATTTTATTTGTTTTTTACCTTATATTTTGGAAATGTACATCCAGATTTTTTCCCCTTTAAATTTTTTTGGGGCCCCCAAGAGAGTGGAGACCTAAACTATAGCTTGTTTAGCTTATACGTAAATCCGGCACTGGCTAATTCTTCCACCACTCTTGCCTCTGGCCCCACCCAGCACTGGCCTGTGTCTCACAGAAATTTACCCAAACAGGACTGAGGCCTTCATTGCATTGTGTGTGAAAGACAGATTTTCTGCCTTTATGCTGGTAGAGTAGCTGCTGTACACTGTGCATGCTCAGCCCAGGAGGCGAGGTAAAAACACACAACCAGAAAATGTTTTTATGTTGTATCAAAATGGCATAGGCACTCCCACGTTCCCTGGAAATTCTGCTAAGAGGCTAAGGGGACTGTGCCGACGCTGGCACCCCACTCCCGGCATGCATGGGGAGCTTGTCTGTCATCTTCCCATGCCCCACTAAGCAAGAGACACAGACCACCAGGCAATGTGCACAGCCAAGGGAACTCTGTGGTGCTGTCTGCTAGAGCAAGCAGGAAGAACCATGTTCAGAGGTTGCTTTGTTCAAATCCACACAGGAGACAAAACAGTTTACAGTGGTACCTCGGGTTAAGTACTTAATTCGTTCCGGAGGTCTGTTAACCTGAAACTGTTCTTAACCTGAAGCACCACTTTAGCTAATGGGGCCTCCTGCTGCTGACGCGCCGCTGGAGCACGATTTCTGTTCTCATCCTGAAGCAAAGTTCTTAACCTGAGGTAATATTTCTGGGTTAGCAGAGTCTGTACCCTGAAGCGTCTGTAACCTGAAGTGTATGTAACCTGAGGTACCACTGTACTTCCCTTCTCAGGGAAGGAAGGCATAAAGTCAGGCAACGGCAGCAACAAGCAAGGGAACTCTCTGAGGTACAATCTGTAAAGTGGGCACAAATATAACAAGGAAGTCCTCAGAGGGATCTCCCCACTGTTCATTGTGAAGGGAATAATTTGGTAGAGTTGCACAGACAAATTCACACATTGGTCAAAAATCCAAAGAGAAAATTCCTCACAAATCCTCACTTCCTGATATTGGTTGCGGCCTAGGTGAAGTGGGAGCCTTGATCCTCTGCCCACACCTGCCACCTCTGCTGCATACCCTCCTTCATTCCTCCAATGAAAATAGGGACACCCTATTCAATAATAATAATAATAATAATAATAATAATAATAATAATAATAATAATAATAATGTTACTTATACCTTGGCCATCTGACTGGGTTGCATCCTCCTGAAGCGTGATGCATGTAACGTCATACATGTGCATCGGCGGCCCCCCAATGCTGGCTGCAACTCGGCACCTCTGAGATCTGCCAACAACTGTTTCCTGTTTAGCCTATTCACTGGCATATATTTGCCACCAGAACAGTGCCACTGGCAGAGTGTTTCACCAACATATTTTTGTGTGGGGTGGTGGGGTATTCCACCAGCTTAGCAGAGGTTCCGCCAAATCCTAAAGCCCGTTTGAGGGATCTCAAGTGTAGGAATATGCCCTAAGTTTCTAGTCCTTTCGATGTAAGAAGTCATTCCAATAAAAATGCATATCTAGGACAACCACTTTTTAAGACAGGATGGGCCAAACCATAGCTTTGTTAGCTGGGCATTTAATGCCCACCCCCCACTGCTCTACAGAGTGTAAGCAAAACCAGACTAGTGTGTTAAGGACAAGTTATTGAAGTACTTAGCCAGTTGAACAAGTTTAATTATCCCCCTACCCTCATAAATTGAAAGCAGCATCGTTTAAAAAATCAAAGCAAAATAAAGCAATTCTGTTAAAAATGAAAAATTTGACATAGAAACAGCTTATTTACTATGTATTTTTAATGACTGAAAAGACAGATAATAAGCAAGATATGATTTAATGGCCACATTTAGCCCACCCGAACCCCTCCCTATAAAACTACTCTGTTCCAAAGCTTGATAAATCAAAGTCTGCTGTGTTACCCAGCAGACAAGCCAAGGCTTTGGTCAAAAATGTAAAAAGGTGTTAATTAGCCATCAGAGGAAGCCCATACAGTCTCATAAATGTAATAGAAGAAGCCTATTAAACCAATAAACAAATTAATTGAAAATGTTACATCAGGGCTACAGGGTTCATACAAAGTACACCCAGCTTCATATTAAGATCCACTAAAAAAGAAATTCTATAGCAGGCATGTTCTCTATTTGTTTCTGTTTTACTCATAGAAAAAATAATAATTTCCCCTTACAAGAACCTTCTGTCTCACCCCCTCCCCTGCTTTCCCTGATTTAAAGTTATGATATACTTGGGTAAAACAAAGGAGCAAAATCAAATAAAACCCTTATGATTCCTCCTCACTCAGGGCGGTTAACCCTCTCTAATTAAAATCAATGGGATTGAAATCTCCCATTGAAACCAAAATGTCTTAAAAGTATTTAACTGTTGATAGATGGTAAGCCAGGTTTCATAGAAGACAAGAAAACATAAAGTGGAAAGGAACACCAAGGAATGCATTCACATTCAAATTACCTCTGTCCACCAATTTAATAAAATGTGATCGTAAGCCTTTAAACCAATTACGTGTAAATGCATTTACATGCTGCCAAAACATCAGTATGGGTATCTTTTTTGAGATACTGAAGGCAGTGAGAGCATTTAGAATTTAATAAACAAAACATTACCAGCCATTACTATGATCAGGTTCTCAGTTTGAGAATGCTTTTGGACTGACAGGATCGTGGTCACAGCTTAGGGACGATTTTAGATCTAGTTCTGTGGATGAGTACTTAGGTGCCATCATGCATGGCTCAAAACTCTTTTAACCAGTGCTTTTTTTCTTAAAAAATATTTAGGGGTACTCATATTTTGACTCAAGAAAACCACAATTATATAGTTCAAATTGGGGAAAATAAATACAGTAAATGGACATCAGGGTTAGCAACGGAACTAAAGATTCACCGTGCTAGAGAAGATTCTCTCTTTTTGCTTGCATTGATCTGGTTGACTATGCCAATGCCTCATAACAAAGCAGATGTTTCAGATAAACTTCCCTTGACTTATTTCATTTTTGCAATTATAACCGCTCTTCCTCTCAAAAAAACACCAGTTAGATTCACAAAATGTTTAGGGGTATGCGTACCCCTGTATCCCCCCAGGAAAAAAGCACTGATTTTAACCAGCTTTGGTGCCTATATGAGCAGTGGCTACTCCTGGAAGAATGGGATCTGGATACAATTCCATGCCCTTATGTGGTGTTGCCTCCAGAAACTGTTTGGAAATTTCATTTAGTTCAGAATAGCAGGTAGCAGCTTTGCTGTTGAATTGAGACTGGATATTGCCACCATTTAAAGCTTTAACTTTTTTTTAAGAGTGCATGTTTCATTATTGTTGATACTGGGTTGGATCCAGACTGGCCTTTCCTTTGGAGCTAACACCCACTGGAGGTTCCCACTTGGGGAAGGAGGAGGAAAGGCTTTTAAATTTTTTAGCCAATTCCCCTGGCACCACAGCTCTCACACTTTTGGAGGGTCCCCAAAAATATTATTACAAGATACAGGTATAGCGGAAGAAGGAATCAGTGAAAATCATCTCTCTACCCATGAACTGGCAGGAGTGTCCCAGGAGCAGAGTTCTGCTCACAGGAATTCTGGATCCAGCCCATTTCTCGTGTGTGTGTGTGTGTGTGTGTGTGTGTGTGTGTGTGTGGTATCTGCCTTGGAAATCATGGTTGAGAGGCATGAAATAAATATTTTCAGTAAATACACGGTAGAAAGCAGTAGCTTTCATTTTTTCCTCAAGCACTATCAAAACAGACTCAAAGTAGCTTTGAAACATTAACAAATGTGTGCTTAATTCTTAGCCCCCTGATTAAAATTTGCTTTCACTGGTTAAAATTGCATTACCCCACTCCAGGGTTAGCAACTACAGGCTTATCGATGGACCCACTGATTCTGTTGAGAAGCCCTTCAGAAGTTTTGCTTAGAGGAAATGTACCTAATAAAGATGGTGTGATTTTTTTTTTTCAATTTCAGAAGAAAGTATCTTCTTCTTCTTTTCACATTTATACTCCGCTGTTACTTCAGGGGCCTCAAGGTGGCATGCACCGTTCTCACCCTTCCCTGCTGTATCCGCACTGCAACCCTGAGAGGTAGGTTGGGCTGAGAGATACTTAAAACATAATAACTAAGTCTTAGAGCTTATTATGACAGAGATTCATCTCTTTAATTTGTTCCCCCCAAGTAGCAGCTACAGATGTGAATGGTTCAGATTCAGATCAGGCACATGGTGGGCTGGGCAAATGATTTACCTCCCTGTTTTTCCAGTGGCAAACTGTATGCACAAACCCCAGCTGCCTATGTTGGAAAATCCAAACCAGTTAAGGATTCTAGTGGCCAGTTGATTGTTCAGTGGTCCCAGTAAAACTAATATATTTCAGTATTTGATTAATTGATGTTAATGTAAGCAAAAGGCAAGGGCATCTGACATGCTCCTGCCCAAATCAAGCATGTTAAGTCCTCTTGATATCAATGTGACAGATTCGGGCTGCAATGCACCCTTTCTTGTAAGAAGGTCCTTCTGAACAAAATGGGACTTGCATAGAATTGCAATGATAAGCATGTGTTTTAGCATTACAAGTGAAATCAATTAAAGTTAAAAGCACTTAACTTTAGCTACATTGTGCCTGCCACATTTTAAAGTTGCTTGTGCACTTCCAAAGCTTGTGTGTGTGGTTTCTACCCCCACCCCTGCTCCTGGAGACGGGTGCTGAACATAAAGGCCACAGTCTAGATGAATCAGCCATCTATGAATTTCTGCTAGAACAAGGGATTTTATTTTTTATTTTTTTAAACACAGACCAAACAGAAGAATCTGAACTATTCTTTTCTGAGCTATTATTCCCACCTATATTCACCTCCCATAGGCACTTTTGAAAACATCCTCCTTGGATAATGTAGATAAAAGAGGTGATGCCCTCTGCCTTTTTGAACTTTCCTGGCACCATTGATACTCGGGGAAAAGAGGGAAGAGCTTACTGCTCTATGATCTAATTAGAAGCACAAGTTAGCTTCATGGCGAGTTGTATTTACTGCAAACCATTGAACTGCCCCAATATACACAGGAGGCCTCACCAGCCCTCACATCAAATTCAGAATAGAGGAGGGAGATCACAGCCAGTTTTGCTTCCTGACTCATAGGCTGTGTCTCATGAGCTGCATCAGTCAGAAGTGCAACTGAGAATGCGACAGTTCATTGGCAGGAGAGCTGGGCAAATTCATGGGTTTAATTGCCATTCAGTCTTCTGGAAACCAAGTTAATATTGCCCTACATTTGGGGAAATGAAGGGAAAGGCTCCACTATTTTTCTGTTGCAATTGCTTGAGTAGACACAATGGTGTGAGGAAACTGGATCCTTGCTATAACAGGGCTCATTCCGAAGCTTGTGGAATGTTTTTGGTGCAAATTGAAGGCAACGATGGGATTGCAAATGGAGGGATTAATTGTCATTTTCCAGCACGGTGAGTTTGAGAACTCATTTCAGGCACCCTTGAAAGGAGACACACCATAGATGCGTTTGTGATTATGATTCAACCACTGAATAAAACAATATATAATTTCAGAGCTTTGCAAGATGCTGCGGAAATGAAGCACCACAAATATATTTGTCTGTTACCTGCTACAGCACCAGGGGGGCAATAGAGAAAAGGGACAGTAGACCTCAGAGCCATTTTACAAATGTAGGACATTTCCCAAAGTTCCCTGGAAAGACGGATTGATCATTAAACCACTCTGTAAATTTTCGCAACAGGAAGAGAATAGGGGTCTCCTAACAACTCTCAGCACTCTTAACAAACTACAGTTCCCATGATTCTTTGTATTCAACTACATATTTGAACTATGGCAAGGATTTGCACTAGCGCAAAAGGATTTTCCTGCTCTCTTCCCTTCATGCACACCCTGTGTCATCCCCAAATCTGCCCTAGAGAGTTGCGGGGGGGACGGACCCAGAATAGATTTAGGGGGCGAGTTGGAAGAAGGAGCGATCATTTCATTATGCTCTGCGTAGCACTACCCTAACTGTTAAAGTGGTATAATAGTGCTCTAACAGTACAGTGGCCCTATGCTGTCTGAAGAAAAAGATGGATTGTGCATAGCCCTCCCAATCACTCTGTTAGCTGAAGTGGTCTTATCAATATAGTCATCATCCTTTTAATGTTTATTATTCATGCTGAGTTTTGCTGAGGAAAGCTTAGGAGAAGCGCATTGTGATTATAATCCAAAACTGCAATCAGTTTGATACAAAGGCCCTCTATGTCAGCAGAGAAAGAAATCACATATCAAAATCAGGCATCAGCTTTGCCCCTTATCTGCTGCTAGCAAGGCGATCATTTGGGGACAGGTAGCTACTATCTGCTGCCAGTACATCTTTATATGCACTGCTCACATTCCATTGCATCATGTCAGATTTGATAGGATATAATGCAATGCGACTAATTTAATCAGATGTGAAGTGCACTAGAGCAACATGTCAAGTCAGAAAAATTGAGGAGAGAAGAAAAGCTTTTGCCAAGCCACGGCCGGATTATTTTTCTCAGCTGGAGGACTTCTTTGCCAGAGTTTGGGCATTTCCATGCTGACCTTCCATTCAAGGGCATGTGGCAAGAGGCTCTTGGCTCCCAAAGGCAGTGACACAGTATATTAGGTCATAGAAGGCGAATCATCAGGCATTCACTCACCCCATCTTCTGAGCCACCACCCTGCACATGCTCCATCTTCACTGAGCTTGAACTCATGAGATTATGCCCTGCTTTCGGTTCTGGAAAGGAAATACTTTGCTGCTCAAACTGCAGGAACTGAAATGAAGAAGCTGAACAGAAGAAACCAGCCTGATGATCTAAACCAGGGACAGGGAATATGTTATCCTTAAAATGTATAATCCATGCCTTCCAGTAGTAGATGGGGTGGTAGGGCGATACCACTCACCTGACCTCCGGCCAGTAGTGTCACTGCTGTTCACCGGGAGGTAGGGTGAGGTTCTCTCTTTCTCGCTCCTGACCCAGAGTCCTGTGCAAGCCAGTCCCTGACCAGGCACCAGACTGTTGGTTTACAGAGTTAACATTCCTAGCTCAATTGTTTTGCAGTGCAAATAACAGAATTTTCCCTCAGGCTGTAGCAGAAGAAGAGATGGGGAAGTGGAGCCATTTTATAGGTTCTGCTGAGAGACCATCTGCATTCGGCTCTTTTTCTTCCTGGATTGTTTAAATTCAGCCGCTGACCATTATAACAACTCCTGTTTAACTTTAAGAATTAGTGTTTTCCTTCCTCCTCCTCATCCATTTTTTCTTTTGTGTCATGCCTTTTAGATTGTAACCTGAGGCTACCTGGGTTTTATTAATAGTATGTACGCTGCTCTGTGAATCTTGACTGAAAAAATGGGTTGGTGTAAGAGATGCTTTAAATAACTAATATTTTCAAGGGCTGGGAAAAGGGGTGTTCTCCTTAGTCTGAAAAATTATTGGACACTCTTTTTTTTTAAAAAAAGCTTGTCTTCCTTCCTAAAACAGGAAAGAACCTTTTGTAAACTGTTCAAAGCTCAAAATAGCAGCCTGTTGCCTCCCCAGCCCTGCCAGCCATCCACTCAGATTATTCTTTTGTTCTTCTAAGATGACTCTGGTATTCCAGCTGTGACATGACAAGGGGCTTGACAACTGCAAAAAAATAATAATACCAGCGGTATTCTTGTTCCCTGAATCATTTTACACGGCTCTACCAAATGCCCTTTTTTGGGTTTTGTACTTGTGTGTGTGTTTTAGCTGCAATTTAGAGATGTGCCGTGTGAGCCTCTAAGCTTTGCAAGTGCTGAGAGAGGTTGAGTCTAACGATGTGACTTTGATAGCAAGCAGGTTATTGCTTATGTAGCGCGGCACTTAGGAACATGTGCATACTTGTAAGTCTTGGCCTACGTGCAGCTAACCAGCCTGCAGGTCATTAATGTACAGTACAAACAGGACCGAACCCTCTGGAACTCCAACTGGAAGAGCCTGAAAGGAAGATTCAGAGTTTCCAATAGCCACTTTCAGTTGGCAGGATCCTGATTGGAACCATGTGACAGTTTCAAGCAATATACCCAATGCAGCCAATTTATTACATATGGCAATATGATTAATGGTATCAAATGGGTTTTTTCCCCCAAACAAAAAAGAAAAGAAAAGAAAAGAAGCAGTCCAAGAATATCATAGCAGCCAATTATATGAGAATCCAAGGCAATGGAAATCTGTTCCACGAATGTAAAAGTCAGGCAGATGAGGTTAAATGAAACAGGGATGTGAGCCAAGACAATGATTATAAAGAAAGTTTTTCTCCCCCTTTTAAAAGAAAAAGGCAGAATATTTTTAAATAGGATTCCCTCCCATGTCAGTGTTGCAGCTTTAATAGATGTGCTGTAGACTGAGTTTTTGAAACAAAGCAACTTTCTAATTTGCTAGAGAGGAAAAAAACTAGTTTTGTGTTACAGAGATGAGCCGGTCTGCCGCCAGTACCATAGATACACAAGCATACCCATGTAAAAAAAGGTAAAGGTACCCCTGCCCGTACGGGCCAGTCTTGACAGACTCTAGGGTTGTGCGCCCATCTCACTCAAGAGGCCGGGGGCCAGCGCTGTCCGGAGACACTTCCAGGTCACGTGGCCAGCGTGACATCGCTGCTCTGGCGAGCCAGAGCCGCACACGGAAACGCCATTTACCTTCCCGCTAGTAAGCGGTCCCTATTTATCTACTTGCACCCGGGAGTGCTTTCGAACTGCTAGGTTGGCAGGCGCTGGGACCGAACAACGGGAGCGCACCCCGCTGCGGGGATTTGAACCGCTGACCTTTCGATCGGCAAGCCCTAGGCGCTGAGGCTTTTACCCACAGCGCCACCCACCTTAATTAATTTGCTGTCTATTTGTACAGCAGAATCTTATTCATATTTATTTGGAGTTATGTCCCATTGATTTCAGTGGAATTTGCTCCCAAGTGAGTGTACATGGGATTGACTGCAGTCATAATTACAACCCTGCTTTACATATTTGAAGAGAGAAATTTTTACTATTCTTTAACCATCCTTGTAAGTACAGCAGGGTGGTTAAAGTGTGCTAAGCTCACATGACGTA